AGGAAGAGGGTAGAGGAATCCAGTTGTGTCCTTATTTTCCAAATCCCATCTTTACTAGCTAACATTATTAAGCACTATGTGCCAGCACTGTTTTGTTTGCACACACAGTATCAACTCATTTAATCGGGTGCCACAACTCTGTGGTAACTAATATTATCATTCTCATCTTATAAATGGGGAAATTGAGGTATAGAAAGATTATGTAACCTGCCCAAGGTCATATGGCTAGGAAGACGTGGAGCTGGGACACCAACCCAGACAGTCACACTCCAAAACCACTAAACCACACTCCTCCCATCAGTTTTCCTCTCTAGAGGCTGATGTCGTCAGCTCTCCACCTCTAGATTTTCCAGGCCCAATCCCTCAGAACTGGTCCCCTCTCACTTACCATAAGAGCAGCTGTTGAAGGTTACCTAGGACGGAAAGAGTAAGGAAGAGAACTACCCCAGTTTCACTTTCCTTGCCCTGTCACATCCCAGTCCCAGCCCTGGCCACACTCACCTCCCTGGCACTGCCCATTGGCATCAGGCTCTGGCTGCCCCAGAATGGAAAAGACCTCATCCTGCAGGGAGTGAGTGACACGGAGCAGCCCCTCCTGAAAGGCAGCAAAGAGGGGGGCCCCCACTGTGCGTAGCAGACCGCCCCAAAGCGCCTCCTCGGACCCGAGCTCCCCTGTTGGGGTAAGCAAACCCAACAGACCCTGCAAAAAGTGAGGAGCTGCCTCCCTCCCATCGAGGCCTGTGGCATTGGTGGGATCCACACTGGGCTGCACCTGCACCAGAGCTTGCCAGCGTGTGCCCTCTAACAACAGCAGCAGAGAAGGCAACCAGTCAGCAGCCAGGACACAGTCAGAGGGCCCATTACGGGTGCATGGGGGCCGACTTGGGGTAGGGGGGCCCCCAGGAACTAAGGCTCCCAGCAACACCTCCACAAGTCCACCCAGCACCCCTGCCTGGTGCACCAGGAAATCTCGGGGAGTCTGCTCCTGTCCCAGCAGTGCCAGCAGATCCCCCAGCAGCCCTAGCATTGGCTCCCAGTCCGGGCTGCCTGTCAGTGTCACTAAAAAATCATGGAGCTGGAACGCAGGTGGCTGGAGAGGTGGGGGCTCTCCTACTGGTACTTCCCCCATTCTCCCAGGCTCAAAGGAAGAAGAAATGTTGGCCAGGAATGTAGAGAACCGTGAGTGGCTCAGGGAGCCCTGGGAAGCCTGGTCCAGAGTGGAGAGCAGTGACTTCAGGAAGGAAAGACCAGGGTCCGGGGACTGAGGCCCATAGGGGCCAGAGTCACTGTAAGGAGAGAAACCAGAGGTTACTAAAGGGGAGGAATATAGAGCCCAAACTCAACCCTGCCTCTGAGCACAGTTCTCTACCTGGATCTAAAGATGAGGTGAGGGGATGGTGAGCTGAACCCCTTTCATTGGCCCATAGTAAGTCTTGGCCTGCTTTTCTTAGCCCTCATTTTTTCCTTTTGCATAAGTCTCTGCCTCTCTCCTTTGTCCTTCTATCTAACAGGTTAACCTCCACATTCTTAAAATCTTTTTCCAGCCACCCTCCTCCTCATCCCCAGTTCTGTTCCCTGTTCTTCTCACCTGCAAAGCACAGCAGCAGCAGCAGCAGCAGCAGCAGCAGCAGCAGCAATAGCAGCAGCAGCAGCAGCAGGGGCCAGAGGCTCAGAGCCATGTTTCCAGGTGAACACGGGTACCGGAGGGGAGTTCTGGTTAATCTCAACTGTGTGGGATAGCCAGGTGAGGGCAGGGCACTGCAGGCAGCCTGAGGCTCCACTGACACTGTAGTGTGGTCTTTCAGGAAACAATATCTGTAACCTGACAGCAGGTTTGTTACCTGAGCCACTGAATATCTGATCCTTTGGCTCTGGAGAAGGGTATGCTTCTGTGAGAGGAACCAATGATAGGGGATCCCAGGGGCCCCTCAGAGGAACCCAAGGAGATTGCTTGAGTTATGAGCCTGTGATGCAGAAAGGAATAGGCAGACATGGAGATGGAGAACTGGAGAACAGGTGTGTAAGGGTGTAATCTGGGGTTCTGCAGAAACATAGAAAACAAAGAGGATATGAAGGAGCTAAGAAGCAAGTAGGATTTGAAGAAATTGAGGAAGAAAGGATGCCCAGGAGCAAGAAACTGGGCAGCAAGGTATAAACCGATGAGAAATGAAGACAGAGGTCTGGTCCAAGGATGGAGAATTTAGGAAGAGGAAAGCTGCTTTCGACTCACTACCCAGAACCACAGAGTGTCAAGAGCTGAGCAGCACCCCAGAGATCACATAGACCAAACTTTTCAACTTATGGATAAGGAAGCAGACCCAGAGAAATGTGATTTATTTATTAGGCCATTCAAATGTTTTGGTTTTCCCTTCCCCCCTGGGACCCCCTATTATTTGGTTCTTTCTCTGTGGCCTAAGTGAAAGCCCTCTCAGAAACTCTGAGCCAAGAAGAGAGAAACCAGATTCAATCACTACGCACAGGGACTGATCTCCCTACACACAGAACTGCTCATGGAACAGAGAGAGAGAGATGTCATTCAAAATAATCTGGTCTGGTCAGGGTTAGAAGTCTTTTTTGTTGTTTTTGTGTTTTTTTTGGGGGGGGGGTTTGATTTTGTTTTTTTTGAGATGGAATCTCTCTCTGTTGCCCAGGCTGGAGTGCAGTAGGGCTATCTCACCACTGCAACCTCTGCCTTCCAAGTTCAAGTGATTTTCCTGCCTCAGCCTCCTGAGTAGCTGGAATTACAGGCATGCGCCACCACGCCCAGCTAATTTCTGTATTTTAGTAGAGATGGGGTTTCACCATGTTGGCCAGGCAGGTCTTGAACTCCTGACCTCAAGTGATTCGTCCACCTCAGCCTCCCAAAGTGCTGAGATTACAGGCTTAAGCCACTGCCACAGGCCAGGGTTAGAAGTCTTTTCCATTCTCCATTTATATTTTCCCAAAGGCCTTCACTTTACACCAACTCTAAATAGCAATTCAACACTGAAGCTATACCCAAACTTTTATTCTGTCTTTCTTTCCCTAGAATCCTTCCCCATTCTCTCCCTCAAATCCACACATGGAACTTCATTATTAATGTGCTTCTGACCTAGAAGATTCACTTAGGATCACGGAGTTTTACTTTTATGTATTTATTTAGAGACAGGGTGTTGGTCTGTGGCCCAGGCTGGAATATTCTGTATGATCCTAGCTCACTGCACCCTCGAACTCCAGTCCTCCTGCCTCGGCCTCCCCGGATTACAGAAGAGACTTGAGGAATCCTCTGGTAAGAACTTCTCATTTTATAGACAGGGGAATTGAAGCCCAAAGAAATGGAATGACTTAACCTGGGTCACAAAGACAGCTGGGAGCAATGATGGGATTTTCCAAGGCAAATCAAAAGTTGAGATGCGTGAAATGATCTGTTGTGTAATTTTACCAACATTCCCTTTGCCCATCAAGGATACCACATCTAGTCTAAAAAGCAGACAGATGAATCCAAAGGAGAATGTGACCCAAGTTCCCAACAGCTTTCCAGTTCCAGCACATCCTGTAATCCTTCTGAATTTCTGCCCTTCATTCTGTAACAACCCTCTTATAATAAATTCTCCTTTTTTCCTCATAGGGTAGCAAAAAATGAGATGGTCTAGGTTCAAACCCTGGTTCCAGCATTTACTAGCTGTGTGTCCTGGGGCAGTTTCTAAATCTCTGTTTTTGGTTTTTTGTTGTTGTGGTTGTTGTTGCTGTTGTTGTTTTTACTGTAAAAAGGAAAAAATCCTAGTGTAGAGTTTTTGTGAGGATTAAATTAGATAATGCATTTAAAGTGCTTAGTGCAATGTCTAGCATTCATTCAACAAAGATTAAGCACTTATTACGTGCCAGACACTGGTACAGAATAAACATTCACTCAATGTTACTATTACTATATTAGAATAGCTCAAGATGATTTTTTCTACTTGAAACTAAAGGAGTTCTAATGAAGACATAAACGATTATCTGGAAGTTGTATCTTGAGTGAAAGACCTTCAGAACAAATATGGAACTAGTTGAGTCAACCAGAGAGAGAAACAATGACGATTCCCTCAACTCAGCATGGAAAATTTCCTGGCAGTCCATGTTCTGCTGTTGTAAGCCGTTGATTAAGCAATTCTCTTGCTGCTAAGGATTCAGACTATGTGCAAACTGAGGGTGAAGTGCTTAGGGTTTATGGCAAATATACCAGGCTATTTGAGTGTATTGGTTATTGCTTATAATTTGATAAAGTTCAACAAGAGCGAGACAAGTTCCAACCTACAGATGACCAAATGGAAACAGAGAACCACCAGCAAATTTAAATTACAAGGGTCCAGAACAAGAAATTAATCATATGTCCTGCTAAAATGAAATGGATAAGACTGGTGATAACTAGAACACTCTGTGATCTGCCAGTTAGAATGGATATACCTGGGAAGAGCCACAGGAGTTGAGAACTCTGAAACATCCTCACTCCCCAAAACTCCCACAGGGCACTCTCTGCCTGA